TCGCGCCATATCTGACGTCCTACCCCTCCCTCACGCGTAGATCTCAGGTCCAACAAATCAACGAATCGGCTCCGAATGTGTAATCACTTCCGATGGTTTTCTTTGGGAGCCATTTTCTAGATTTTGGGGCCTGTTTGGAAGGACCGAAAACCATGCCGTGTCATGGCACTGGAAAACTTATTCCAGCAGTGCGTCGGGAGCACGATTCGGGACGAGCGGAAGCGCGGAAGTGAGGCCAGCGCTGCAGCGGGAACACGATTCGGAACAAGCGGAAGCGCGGAAATGAGGCCAACGTTGCAGCGGAAGCACGATCCGGAACGAGCGGAAGCCCGAAAATGAGAACAGTGCTTCAGCGGGAGCAATTTTTTGAAACAAACTCAGGCGAAAATCCATTACCCGGGAATCCGGCTGGATATCTTCCGGGCGTCATCAGGGGAGAGAGGACAGTAGCATTCATGTTGTGTAATTGTGGTGGGGTCGGGTCCTCATGGTTCCTGGTTGGCTGCCGGTTGCCTGGGACGGCCGGTGCCGCCGACCCTGATCGAATGGGGCTAGGAGGGGGGAGGAGGAAGCGAAGGAGGAGGAGGGGGAGGAGGAGGAAGAGGAGGACGAGGAGGAGGAGGAGGACAGGGACGAGCACGAGGACTAGGAGGAGGAGGAGGAGGAGGAGGAGGGAGGAGGAGGAGGAGGAGGAGGAGGAGGAGGAGGAGGAGGAGGAGGAGGAGGAGGAGGAGAGAGCAGGTGGAGGAGGAGAAGCAGAGGAGCGGGAGGTGCAGGAGGAGAAGGAGGAGGAGGAGGAGGACGAGCTGGGAGGAGGAGCGTGGAGGAGGAGGAGGAGGAGGGAGGGAGGAGGAGGAGGGGAGGAGGAGGAGGAGGAGGAGGAGGAGGAGGAGGAGGAGGAGGATGGAGGAGGAGGGAGGAGGACGAGCTGGGGAGGAGGAGGGAGGAGGAGGAGGAGGAGGAGGAGGAGGAGGAGGAGGAGGAGGGAGGAGGAGGAGGAGGAGGAGAAGTAGGAGGAGGACGAGAACCTCCTCGCGACGCCCTCCGGGCTTTCTCGAAGGCTGTCGGGGGAGTCGGATCTGGGGGGGGCGCCCAGGTCCCCCCCGGGACCCCCCGGGACCCCCTTGGGACCCCCCCCGGGTCCGCCCCCCCCCCCCCCCCCGCACCGGGGAAGGGAAAAGGGAAGGGGCTTCCCTTCGAAGTATTGACGACGTTCAATCAATTGCTTGGCACGGCATGTGCAAGGAAGAGGACTCTGCTGACGGAGAGCGGGAGAACGGTGAATGGAAGCTGGATGCGGCTAGAGAAAGTTGAGCAGGAAAGAAAGCACGACGCGAACGGAAAAGCCCCTCACACACGCCGACAGGGTCGGCGGATATTATCAGGGAACTGACCAAGACACCCTTCTAAATAGCAAGCCGTCTAGCTCACTCCCACCCGCCCTCCCAGCAAGTATTTCGAGCCTCAGCATGTTCAGCGGTCGTCTTTAGATGGGCAGCTACTGGGAACCAAAACGGAGCCAGTGTGCGCGACGCTGGGGCGATGTGCGCCACGCGTGCCAGGTGCGCCAGGCACCCCTGGGGCCCGAGCGTGCCAGGCACGCCTGGCGCGCCAGATGCGCCACGTGCTCCGAGTGCGCCAGGTGTGTCGCATACTCCAGCCGCGCCAAGTGCACCACGTTTGTGGCGCGTGCAGAGTGTGCTAAATGCGCCTGCGCACGTGACAGCACACATCGGGAAACATGTCGGCCCCCACCAGCTTTGTCGAAAGCCGATGCCCATCAGTGTGTCTGGTGGGCCTGCGCACAGCAGGCCATACGCCACCACCCCCGCCGCTTCTGTCAAAAACCACATACCACTGATCGCGGTGTGGCCGCGCACGATGCAGATCTAGCCGCGAGGAGCATGTTGTATGTTTTTTTTCAGGGATGGTAACCCTGCGTGCAGCAGCCAATATGCTGACACCCCCGCCGCCCTTGCTTCAAAAACCATACAAGGTGCTCGCGGGCCTCACGACCATGACTCCAGACTTTACCCCACAGTGTACTGTGTATGGTTTGTTGTCAGAGATGGCGTGGGGGGCGCATCGGGTTGCTTGCGCATGTTCCGGATTTGGAGGTAGAGTGTGTTCCGTATTGTTCCCGGCCCTTCTGTGGTGTTGGGTCTTCGTCTTGAAAAGATAGCGCCCTGCGTCCCACCTCATCTCTCCTCATTTTCTCTTCGCCTCTCCTCCCCTACTTGGCACACCCCTCGCACGTCTCGTGGCCCCATGGGGAATTCCACCAAAGGCCCAGATGTCAGCGCTCGCACACGCCCACCGCACCCATCTTGGCACGCCCCTCGCACGCTTCGTGGCCGCATAGGGAGCTCCACCGAAGGCCCCAGCGGCGGTGTCCACTTGCGTCCCCCCGCCCAGCACAGCGTTTCGTAGCCCGACACAGATCTCCACTTAATGCCCCAGTGGCGGTGTCCACGTGCGCCTCCCCCACCCAGCACATATTTCGGGGCCCCACATGGAGCTTCACCTAAGGCCCCAATGGCGGTGTCCACATGCGCCTCCCGCACCTACGTAGCGCTTCGCGGCCCCATAAAAGGGGGCTCCATCTAAGGCCCCAGCGGTGGTGTCCACATGCGTCTCCCCACTCCACCACAGCGTTTCGTGGCCCCACTGGGAGCTCCACCTAAGGCCCCAGTGGCGGTGTCCACATGCGTCTCCCCTACCCAGCACAGCGCTGCAGGGCCCACTGGGAAATCCACCTAAGGCCCCAGTGGCGGTGTCCACATGCGTTTCCCCCACCCAACACAGAGTTTCGTGGCCCCATTAGGAGCTCCACCTAAGGCACCAGTGGCGGTGTCCACATGCGTCTCCCCACCACAGCACAAGGCTTCGTTGCCCCATGGGGAGCTCCACTGAAGGCCCCAATGGTGCTGTCCACGTGCGTCTCCCCCCCGCCCAGCGCAGCGTTTTGTGGCTCCATAGGTAGCTTCACCTAGGGCCCCTGTGGCGGTGTCCACGTGCGCCTTTCCCACCCAGCACATCGCTGCGTGGCTCCATAGAGACGTCCACCTAAGGCCCCAATGGCGGTGTCCACATGCGTCCCCACCCTTCAGCACAGCGCTTCGTGGCGGCCCCATAGCCCAGTAGCGTTGTCCACATGCGTCTCCCCACCCAACACAGCGCTTCGTGGCCACACAATGAGCTCAACCTAAGGCCCCAGTGGTAGTGTCCACATGCGCCCCCCCCCACCCAGCACAGCGCTTTGTGGCCCCTCAGGGAGCTCCACCGAAGGCCCCAGTGGCAAAGTTCGCATGCGTCTCCACCACCCAGTACAGCGTTTCGTGGCCCAGAGGGAGCTCCACCGAAGGCGATACCCATTACTGCAATATTCACGACTGCGTTTGTTTGTGCCTTTTGCCAGGCCACTTTTTTGACAAGGGTGGGTGTGTGGGGGTCCTCATGGGGTCCTCATTGTTCATGGTTGGCTGCCAGTCGCCCAGAGGAGGGGGTGTATATTCATAGGGAGCAGTAATAAACCCCTCCCCGAACAGGGGAAGGAGGGAGCTTTGACAGAGAGAACACACAACTCGTTAAATCAAGCAACGCCTAGAGGGCTGGTGGGACTGAACATGCATACGTAAGCGATGCTGCAATCCACTCGCCTGTGGGGAGGAGGGTGGGGCGAGGAGGAGGAGGAGGAGGAGGAGGAGGAGGAAGACGAGGACGAGGACGAGGAGGAGGAGGAGGAGGAGGAGGAGGAAAGGGGGAGGAGGAGGGAGGAAAGGAGGAGGAGGATGAAACGGGGGAGGGGGGATAATGAGAAGGGTAGGAAGAGGGATGTCGAGGAGGACGGGGATCTGGTGAGACGAGTAGGACGTTGACTCCCCTGTCCTCGCTCCTCAAGTACCTACCATCCCTGTTCCATATTCCCTCCTCCGTCTCTTTGGTCCCTCTCTACGGTATCATCCCTCCATCCTCCTCTTCCCTCTTCCCTCCTCTTTCCCCTCGTCCCTCCTTCATTCCCCTCGCCCTTCCATTCCTCCTACCTGCCCCTTCCTTCCCTCTCACCCGCTCCCCGCCCTTCCCTCCTTCTTACCCCCTCCATCTTCTCTCCTAGGTCAGGGGGCAGCCGAGTGGATCCCCACCCCGGGACTACGCTGGGACTCCCAGGTCCCGGGAGTTCGGTTGCCATCTTTCTGGCCTAACTCCACTGTCCTCCACCTTGTCCTCCCTCCACACCCTCCCCGTCACAATTAAACGACATGAATACTACTCTCCTCTCACCCCTGGTGGCGTCCGGGAAATGGCCGACCCCCCTTCGCGAATTTCTTTTACACAGGATTCCAGGGAAACGGGTTTTCGCTGGGCTGTTTGTCAAAATGCTGTTCTCGCTGAAGCGCCGGCTTAATTTTTCGGGCTGCCGCTCGTTCCGAATCGTGCTCCCGCTGCAGAGTTGGCCTCATTCCCGCGCTTCCGCTCGTTCCGAATCGTGCTCCCGTTGCAGCGTTGGCCTCATTATTTCCAGCGCCATGCCACGGCATGGCTTTCGATTCTTCCAAACAAGCTCCAAAATCTAGAACATGCCCTCCGAAGAAACCATCGGAAGTGAGTTCACAGTGGGTGCCGATTCGTTGATTTTTTTCGCCGCAGAAGCCCCCCCCCACTGTGGGCCGTCGCCGCCAAGATATGTCAGGCTACGCGTTAATCTTCAACACCTTGTTATGCCATGTAATGCTATGCCATGCTACAACATCCGATTGTGCGAATAGGGAGGAGATCTGCGCAATGGTAAGGGATGAGAGGGAGGAGTAGGACGTTAGATATGTCGCGAGCGCACCTAGCTTGCCTCCCCCCTCTCCCCCCTCTCCCCCCCTCCAAACCTCCTTCCCTCCCTCCATCCATCCATCACTCGCCCTCGCTCTCCTTCAATCCATCCGTCCTCCGTTTCTCCCCTCCCCCCCCGTTTGCCACCGTCCAAGCCAGCGGCGCGGCGGGGGCGGCAGGTCTTGCAGACGTCGCTCCTGATATTGATCGCCCTCGGCAGCGGGGGCTGAATTGGGTTTTCTGGAGCAGGAAGTTGGCGAGGATGAGGAGTTGGAGGATTTGGAGGAGGAGGAGGAGGAGGAGGAGGAGGAGGAGGAGGAGGAGGAGGAGCAGGAGGGGGACCTGATACCGATCGCCCTGTGCAGAAGGAAGAGGGACGAGCAGAACGTGCGGAAACCCTTCGCCACTTGCCGCTGCAGCTGACTGTCCCCGGCAGTGCAAGGCAGTGCGGATGTCGGTGAGAGCCCCTCCTCCTCGACCTCCCTGTCCTCCTCCTGGTCCTCCCCGTCCTCCTCGACCTCCCCGTTCTCCTCCTGGTCCTCCCCCCCTTCTCCCCTGCCTCGAGGAGGGAGCAGGAGAGGCGGGCGCACGGGGCCCTCCGCCAGACCGTGCCCAGGCCGTCCCTGCTCTGCCAGAGTCTGTTGCTGCCCGGGGGGGGGGAGGAGAGCGAACAAGTCCAACCTGATCTCGGGGAAACGGAAGGCTCGAGTGAGCAGGGACTCGGGCTTGGCGACTCTTTTTGGAGAGCGCGTCCCGGATTTTGACGGTCCAGTTTTCGTGGGATGTTGGCGGCGGGAGCTCGCGTCATCTTTCAGGCTGGGTCTCGTCATTTTTGCGGTGGCCCCGTCAGGCCAACCCGAGTCCCCCGTGCCCGAATTTTACGTCTCCCCGATGATCGTTCGACAGGATCTTCCGACCGCCGTGACATTGATGTTGTTTTTCCCGAGGCGGGAGTTTATGCATGACCACTGCCCGGAGGATCAATGTTCGGGGACCTCGCAGGCGGTGGATACGTGGATATATTCGGGCCCCCGGGGGCGAAAGTATATCCATTTCCACCGCCCACAGGGGCACCAGGACGTCGTTTCCCAGGCGGTGGATATGGATAAATCCCCGCCTCGCATTTTTGCTTTCCGAAGTCGGATATCGTCAGGGGCAACAGCAGGGGGCACGGTCCCGAGGTCCTCAGGGTGGGCATAGGTCGGCACATCAATCGCCCAGTCCTCGCCGATGGGGGCTTGAAAGCCTTAAGTCGGGCCTGTCCTTCTACAGGAGGATTATTCATATATATATATATATATGTATAAAAAAATGCGGACGATGGTTTGGTTTGTGTGTGTGTGTGTTTTTGCCAATTGTCCCATATGTTTGGATATGTCTCAATTTTTCGTCGAAAATCGGCTTGTAGGGGGACATGCCCGACCTAATGATAGCCCACCTCGCCCAGGAACGTGCGGTTCCGCTATCGAGAGCCGATCGGCGATAGAGCTCATCCTCGAGCTCGATGTTCCCCCCCTGAGCTGGTCTCCCTTCTCGTTGCCCCCAGCTCGGTTGCGGTTGGCCAGAGAAGGGGGATCGAGGATTGCTAGAAAGCGGCCCTAAAGGGCCTCTAAGCTCGCACCGCGGACCCAAGAGGTGCTGGTGAGGTGCGGCGTTCCTTCCCCCCCGCCCCCCCCACTGACGACCCGAGCACCGGCGAACTCGTCCGACATCTCGGGCCTCGATCCTCGCACCTCAAGCCTCGACGGCGAAGGCGGCGGCGGCGGCCAGCGACGGCGAAGGCGACGCCGCCGACGACGACGACGACGACGACCCTCGCATCAAGAGGGCAGCAGAGCCCAGGAGGCCAGGGGGGGGCGGCGGCGCGGGTGCCGCTGGCCTGAAGTCGGGCCTGTTCCTCTACAGGAGGGATATTCAAAAATAGTTTAAACATAAGATGGGGAGGTTTTTGAACTATTTTTGACCATGTTGGAGTATTTTTGAACTATTTTTGATTTCTCGTCCAAAATCCCCCTGTAGGAGGACACGCCCGGCCTAACGCTGGCCGCGGGCGACGCCGGGAGCCCGCCAGAGGGGGGAGGCTACACCCTGCTGCAGTCCAGAATGGGCGAGCTGGCGCGCCCGCCCCCCCCCCCGACCCCCCTCGCGCCGCGCCGAGCAGAGAGGAGAGGGGGAGAGGGAGAGGGAGAGGGAGGGGGAGGGAAAGAGAGAGGGTTAGAGGGAGAGAGGGAGAGGGTGAGACAGGTATCGGGGAAACGTAAGAATCGGGTAAGCCAGAACTCGGGTTTCGCCGACTCTTTTTGGCGAGCGCTTCCTGGATTTTGACGGTCCAGTTTTCGTGGGATGTTGGCGGCGGGAGCTCGCGTCATCTTTCAGGCTGAGTCTCGTCATTTTTGCGGTGGCCCCGTCAGGCCAACCCGAGTCCCCCGTGCCCGAGTTTCACGTCTCCCCGAAGATAGAGATAGGGCGCCGACAAGCTCCTGGAAGAGGTCTGCTCTGCTCGAGGGCGGACAGCCTGGGGCGCCGTCCAAGAGGGTCCCACACGCGAGGCGCAAGCGAAGAGGAGTTGTGCACAGCAGGGCCGGTCTGTATCTTTAGGGCGGCGCTGTACCTTTAAGTGGTCTGTCGCATGCACGGAGCTTGGAGGTCACCAGTGCTCGTCGCGCTGTCAGTCCCCCCCAGCTTTCCTCCTTCTTCTCCCCAAACTTGCGCTGGAAACAAAAGTTGTGCACTCAGAGGAGGGAGTATCACCAAGTGGGAAGACGTCATGATTACGGCGTACGGGCATAATTGGCGCGCCGACACCAGAGGCGCGACCAGAGCGACCACAGAGTGGAAGGCTCGGGCCAACAAGTTCATCCGCATCATACGTGGTGGTTGGGCATTGCCGTCGCTGCGCGCACCACGAGCGAGCCTTGGCAGACCGCGGCCGTCGCCGGCAGAGCGCACATGCTGCGCCGAACGACCTGGGTTTTGGCAAGAGGTACCACGCGGCTTCGTTTTTGCAGAAGGTTGGGCTAGCTGTGGTGGCTGATTCCTTTGATTGCCAGCCTTTGCAGCGGATCGTTTGCGGACATATGCCTTTGCGCGGTGACGACTTTCGAACTTTTGCTCACGAGGGGTACACAGGCGATCATCAACACCATGGGCGCCGGACAGCCCGCGCGACCGGGTCGACCCCGTCAGGCGAATGGACAGGAGGCGCAATGTCCTCGCAAATTAACTGTACAACGTCACCATGGACAGGCGATCCTCGTGGCCAGAGGTCCGCCGGCCGGCGAGGGCCAACCGCCAACCCGATACCGCGAGAGCCAACCGTTGGGCATTTTTGTGGGGGGCGCTCGCAAGGATTGGTCGGCCATTGCGTGGGCGCTTGGAGCCGGGACCGACGCTGGATACGAAATTGTTGCGGTGTCCGGAATCTTCTATCAGCCGTCCGTCCATTCTTTCATGGCGAAAACCATCGCTCTGGAAGGGGCCCTGGACGACCTCCAGGCGAGGGCAGGCAAAGGTGGTTAATCTGGTGAGAGGCGAATGACATTGATAATATCGGAGGCAACGTTCTCTGGAACCATCTAGGCTCAAATTCCATCCTCCTCTCGACTAACAAACAAACGACGCCACCCCACCTACGGCCCTTTTCTGTTGCGCTACAGCCCGTCGGGGGCCGCAGCGTATACCGCGCCAAGCTGGATTCCATAGGGGCCGTAGGTGGGGTGGTGTCGTTTGTGTTTTGGTCAATCGTCCTAGTTCCTCCTCCATGTCGCGCGATTCAGGCTGTTTTTGCATATGTCTCGTCGTTGTTCGTGCATTGCGCTGATTTCGGGTAGCACGGCATCAGGGGTAGCTTCATGACGCTCCGTCCGCCACGCGAAAACGGAAAGAGCATGATATATATATATATATATATATATATATATAGAGAGAGAGAGAGAGAGAGAGAGAGAAAGAGAGAGAGAGAGAGAGAGAGAGCGAGAGAGAGAGAGAGAGAGAGAGCGAGAGAGAGAGAGAGAGAGAGAGAGAAAGAGAGGGGCACACACACTTTTTAACGCGGCGGCGCAGAAACCTCAGGCGCGGTCGGCAGATGGACGTGTACATTGCGGACGAACTTAGTCGAACGCGCCGTGGTGAACAAAATCCAGTCGCGCCCGTGCAAACAGGTGCAAGCGGCGAAAAGGCGCGGCACTGGAAAGCCAAAGTGCAGCGGCCAAGCATCCCGCGGAGCGTAGCTCGACGCCAGGAGCCAAACCGCAAACAGCAGCCTGGTGTTAATTGGACACACGCACGCACGTTTTTGACGGTCGCGGCTTCGCGCGCAGCGGCGCGGCGGAGCAAACCGCGCACTCGCGAGCGCACGTGCACTTACACCCACATTTACACCTGCGCGCACGCACATGTTGGCGGTCGCGGCCTCGCGCGCAGCGGCAATGCGGAGACGCGCGCGCAAACGCGCAAACATTCAACATGCACACAACTACAGACACACAGGCACACAAACGCACAACGCACAGCGCACACACACAAACACAAACAAACAAACGCAGACACACAAGTCCGCGCGCAGCCACTTTGGATCAAGTTCACGTGCCTCCCGGCGACCACAAGTCCGAGAGGGCGTTCTGAGCGCGATGGGCCGCGCCGGAATCAAATTGTCTGGATGGCGACTACCGTTCTGCCGCCGCCTTGGTCATTGTCTTTTTTCTGGTTCTGGGCAACTGCGTTGACTGGCGCCCGCGCTCGTTCCCGCGCCGTCGAGGAGGGGTGGCGCCAGGTTGCCGTGGCGAGCGCACTCAGCGGTATTGAAATTGGCGCGTTGGTGCAGATGTGCAAGTGGCGAGGTGGCCAGCCCTTCAGCAGCTATCCTGCTGTCATTGGCGTGGCGCCCCTAGGTCGGCAGCGTTCCTCTTAGGCTGTTCTGCAGAGCGGCGTGCCCTGGAAAAATATTGGCGGCAAGTCTGGCAGCCCAGGCAACTGCCCCGCGGCTGAGCTGCAGATGGAGCTCAAGCAGTCCAAGGCCCAGCCGGTGGCCGAGGAAGCGATGTGGAAGCTGATCTTGTGTCCAGCACAGACAGGAGGTTGGCCGAGCTGGATGGCCCCATCGCCTTCTTCAGCCAAATCGAACCCCTCATGGCGGTGATTTAGGCGGTGCTGGCAGGGCACCGCAAGCAGCGAGATGAGCTCAAAGGCGCTCGAGACCAAACCGCCATCGGCCAGTGCCAAGGAGCCGTTGACAACCGCATCGAGCAGCAACAGGTCAGGGGCCGAGTGGCCAGCATGGGCCTTGCTGCCCCTCCTGCAAGTCCGATCGGCGGCGCCATCAGCGGAGGGGCGGCTGGTGTCCTCGCCCAAGCTGATCCTCCTCGTGGCCAGGAGAGCGAGCGCAGCGTTCGCCCCGCTGCGCCCCGCGCAAGTTCGACTGACGGGGCCCTCGGCAGAGGGGTGGCCGATGCCCCCGCCCGTGCGATTGCTCGCGCCCTTGGTGCGAATGCCGGTTGGGCCACGCTGCTGAGGCCATGGGCCCGTTCGCGACGAGGAGCTGGACTTCGGCGAGACGTAGCTCATGAAGGGGGACAGCCCGTCGAGAACAAACAATGAATTGGGATTTAGCCGTCAGGCCTGTAGTAGCCAGTGCAGTCGTGATCGACAGCAGCGACGCGCTGAAACCATTCGCGATGCGAGGATCATTCTAGGCGAAACGAGCCGTCGCCCTGGGCTCCACACAGCGAAGGCGAGTGCCAAGTCGCATTGGGCCCTCGCAGAATATCCGGCATCCTGCGAGGCGGGCGTCGCGCGGGCTCAGACAGTGCACGCGGCCGCGAGATGGTTTTGGTCCAGGGCGATGCGCATGATTTTGGAACGGCGGATGGACTGCCGCCGTCGCCGTGCCCGGCGGGGGGCCCGCAGGCGGCGCGGCGGCCCCTGAGCGCCCCGTCATCTCAGCGGCGGCGACAGGGGCGAATAGCCCATGGGCGGGCATTGATCGCATTCGCCCGGGGGCCTTCTCGAAGACATAGATCGTCGGCGCACCTGAAAACATGTTTTGCTCTCCCCTGGGCTACTCGCCCCTAACGTCGCCTCTGATCATCCAGGTTGCCCGCGCGCCGCGCTTAAGCAACGGCCAGATATGCGCAGGACGCGCAGTTGCTGCCGCGGCCCAAGCGGGGCGCGCTGGAGGCGTTGTCATGGCGTCGGCCTACTTGCACATGGGAGACGGACGATCGAGCCCCGCGGAACGTGGGCATTCTTTGAGAGGTGTGCAAGTATTTCGATTGGGTTGCAGCGACCAAAAACTTTTGCGTAATCGCAGGCGGCTGCAACGTGCCGCCGTCAGCGTCGAGCCCGATGCCACCTGGTCGGGGCCCCGCGCTACATGGCGCACATGGGCCCAACTCGTCGCGGGGATTCATTCGTCGCGTCGCAGGGGTCTCATTCGTCGCAGGGGCTCGCGTCCGCCTCGTCGCAGGGGTCCCATTCGTCATCCAAGACGTCAGTTCGCGCTTTTGCGTAGAAGGCCCGCAGGTTTTGTTCAGGCTGTTTTGCCCTGCTTGAACGGAGGCGATCCGTTCTTCGGGCTAATGGTATCGCTGGACCAGTGCTGCCTGGCTGGTGGCCACGCTGATCACAGTGGTTCCAAGGCGCATTACGATTCCACAGTTCTTCGTCCGAGGTTTCGTCGTGACCTGGTGCCTCTTGCCGCTCGGCAGGGTGCTGTGGGGCGCTTCTGGCGTGCGAGATCCCGTGGTCGGTTTCGTTCAGCGTATGTGCGATTGGGATTCCCCAGTTTGGTGCATTGGGGCTGATGGCGGGGGCTGTGGGCGGTCCTGGTGGATAACTGCCGGGGCCGTGAACCCTGGTAGGTCATGTCGAATTCGGGCCCATGGGTCCTTTGCCCAGGGGGTCTCGAACATATGCGCAATAGCTCGCGCAATCGCACGGGCTGGATCGTGCTGGATGCACGCAGGACGCGTTGCACTTGGCATCGTTGGTCCATTTGAGAGGCCACGCGAAAAGAATCGCAGGACGAACTATTGGATTCTGTCCGGCCCCAATCAAGAAGACCCCTGTTTTTCTTCGCTTGCGGGCTCTCGGGAGGTAGCTCTGGTGCTACAAGGGTTGGTAGGGTCCACTGGCCTCGTCCTGCTGCATCCATTCTTCCGTGACCGTAAGGGTAAGGAGGCTTAGGGCCAGGGCAAAAAGCTGGAAAGGGCCGGAAGTTCCCCCAGATTGCGTCGGTGACCTTATTGGGCCCGCAAGCGGCCTTATTTAGCCGCAGTCGTGGGTGTTTTTGGATCAGCTCGTCGTAGGCTGCAGCAGCTCGGTCTGCACCGCCACTGCTGCGAAGTGGAACGGTGCATGCCCCCGTGGCGCACGAGAAGGTTCTTGGACTGGAGGCTTGGGTGCCCTTGCCTGGTGGCTTGGGCTGCAGCGGTTCAGGGACCATTGCGGCGTGTGCGGGAATATGGGGATGGCGCGAATCAGTCACACCGCGGGATGCGGGGCGTCCAGCATCGTCATGAGCGTGAAGCTGCGCAGGAGGGCTTCGTGTCGCGGTTGCGCCGTGGGCCACAGACCACCGAGCCGAGATTTGACAGAGTGGGTGAGAGAGAGAGGGCCTACCTAGGAATTGGAGCCTAGGAGTTGGAGACTCTAGGAAAGCAGCATTAGTAGGAGCGGTCAACGCCGTCCTCCTCCTTCTCCTTATCGTCGTTATGCGGTGCTGTGCTGTGCTATGCTCTGTTCTGCTCTGCTATACTATGTTATGCTATGCTATGCTATGCTGCGCAGTGCTATGCTGGGCTAGGCTATGCTATGCTATGCTATGCTGCGCTATGCTATGCTATGCTATGCTATGATATGCTGCGCTATGCTATGCTATGCTATGCTATGCTATGCTTCTCCTCATCGTCCTCCTGGATGCTGCGCTCTGTTCTGCTCTGCTCTGCTATGCTATGCTATGCTATGCTATGCTATGCTATGCTGCGCAATGCTATGCGTGGCGCTATGCTGGGCTAGGCTAGGCTATGCTATGCTATGCTGCGCTATGCTATTCTGCGCTATGCTATGGTATGCTATGCTATGCTATGCTATGCTTTTGCTTTGCCTTCGCTTTTGCCGTCACTTTTGCCTTTGCTTTTGCTGTTGCTTGGCACCCAGGGAGCGCAACTGGGGGAACCGCGCGTTTGCTTTTACCTTTGCTGTTGCTTTTGCTTGGGTCCCAGGGGACCGGGGGAACCGCGGGGCGGATGCCGGGGGAACCGCCCGGGGCGTGGAACATTGGCCGGCCCTTTGAGCATTCCGAGTTAGAACCCTTCTAGGCAGAGCCTAGGTAGGGAACAACAAATAACGAAAGAAGAGAGTGAGAGAGAGAGAGAGAGAGAGACAGAGAGACAATAGTGAGAGAAGGGAAGGGGAAATTGAGAGCACACGATGGTGAACGACAAACTGGACAAGCCCGCGCATGAGGAGCACAGGGCGTTGACCCTTCCTTCCTATCTCCCCCGTAGCCACCCGCCCCCCCCTTCCTCGTCCCAGGACCTCATGATACCTATGTGCTTCATGATCGGCGTTATCCACGTGATGCTCGTGGGGTTTGGCAAAATCAAGGACGCGGGGCGGCCAAGCGGCGAATACGCAATCCTCCTGCTCCTTCTCGTGTTTTCTGCAGGTTCGCGCTGGAATGTCTGTGACCACGACGGACTCGGTTTGCGCCCGTCGGGAATTCAGGGATGCAAAGTCCCGACAGCAGTATGCACAACGGTGACGGGAAACAGAACGTAGAGGAGCATGGAGAGGAGCTGTAAGATGAGGATGGGGAGGTTTTGTGTGGAGGGAGTGAAGTTTGGAGAGGATGTTGATGAGGAGTCGAGGTACCAGGAGGTAGACAGCGGAACGATGAGGAGGAGGAGGAGGAGGAAACGATGATAGTGGTGACGCTGGGACGCATGGTGATGGTGAGTTCTGCGATGACGATGGCGACACAGATGACGAAGCTGATAGAGATGCTAGAGATGATGATGCTGATGATGCTCATGCTGATGATGATGATGATGATGATGATGATGATGATGATGATGATGATGATGAGGGTGATGATGAGGATGATGAGGATGATGATGGTGATGCTGGTGATGATGTTGATGGTGATGGTGATGGTGATGGTGGTGATGATGATGATGATGATACTGTTCATGCGGATGCTGTTGATGATGCTGATGATGACGGTGGTGATGATTGGGCACGGTTGAGGAGTTCGGGACCCATTTTGAAACCATTTGTGAGCTCTCGGGAGTCACCTTTGGGCCATCTCTGGGCCTCATAGGCCATCGACAAACGGACGTGCAAGAATGCAGGGCCCGTCTGAATATCATATTGCATTTAAAGTGCTTCGCATCCTCTGGGTCTCTCTTTGCGGAGTGGCTGGTCGTTTGTAGTCGTTGTTAGGCAGTCTTGAGGCTCCGCAGTCGCCTCCTCCTCCTCTCTTCCTCTTCCTCTTCTTTCTCCTCTTCTCCCAACTTCTGCCTCCTCCTCCCCTCTACCGCTGCCGCCGCCTCCGCCTTCTCAACGTCGCCTTTCTGGCCCAATGCATTTCAGCGGCTGCACAGCGCGGCTTCCGAAGCGCTTGCGCGTGGCGTGTCGAAGAAGACCCGTCGCCCGTGAATTACTTATATTCTGCCTTGATGGCGGACGGGGTCGACGGGTTTGCGGCCTTGACGCAGGCGGCGGAACACCAAACAAAGAGACAGAAGATGGATGACGCCCCGCGGCACTACCTCAAGGCGTGGTAGACGGTCCCTAGTGCGTGGTTGAATCCGTACTCCAGGGCCCAGTTTGACACGCTTGGGACGCGCGAACTTTGGGCGCAATGCCAGGTCCCCCAGAAGACCGGGGCTTTTCGGGCCACGGAGCTGTGCAGTGAAGACGACGAGCGGCGCGGCACTGGTCTGAAATTATTGGGTCCAGGGCCAGATCCAGTTCACGAACTTCTTGCAGGGCGCGGGCCAGAAGAAGCTCGTTCAAGCAGTTTGCAAGCCTGACATATTCAAGGCGCTCTACGACGAGATCGACAAGACGCTGCCGGCACTGCAGGCGACTATTTCGTCGCAGAAGCCTCGCGAGCATAAGGGCTTCCGAAGCTTCGACCTTCAGCACAGGCGGCTCCGACGTCAAAGGGGCCAGAGGACTTCGAGAAGCACTGCACGATTGTTTACGAGTGGATGTCGCCGAGGTCCAAGAGCGTGTACAGGAGCACTGCGTACATGTTCGCCGGTGGAGGCCCCTCCCACGTCGCAGCCAGTCATCACAAGGTTGCCGTCGCTTCCTACCTGCACGGTAATGCCATGCACGAGAAGAAAAGTGGCGACGGAGTGTCTTCGGAGGGGTTCCAGAACGCGGTTTTGGCCCAGCACGGCGCAGGGGCGATCGACGAGGACGCTGCTCCCGGGAAGAAGATCAAGAAGGCGGAGGGCTTGGTGCACGGCTTCAGTTGAGCGTTCGCGGGGGGACGCTGTAGTCATCAGATTTGAATTTGGGGCCAGCGCCAGTTTCGCTGGCAATGCGCGTCGCTCGTCGGCGGCGCTGGCAATATGTTTGGGCGTCGCGCGCGCCCCAGATCTACACCGAAACATTTTTTATGGGCTGGCCCGCGCCGCTGGAACTCCATTTGCGCCTGCGCCCTGTCCACCAGCAGCGCGCGTCGCTCGCTGGCGGCGATGACTGCAAGTCGCAGCACGCCCTGTGGTGTTCTGAACTGCATGAAAAACATGGCCACCTTTCAATCGCGTGTGTCCATAGATTCACGCGGCTGCTCTTCATGCTTGTCTGCGTAGCCCTCCACGCATTTTGTGCGAAGGTCCTTTCAGGTATCTAGTAGCCTCCGGCCTATCCCACCACCGTGCCTGGTTGGTGGGTCAGGCCTCAATGTTGCCAGAGCGTCGGGCTCCGCTTGGCGCTTTGGAGATTCTCGCGGGCCCTTGACCCCGAGATTTTTTTTTTGCAGCTGCCCCTCGAGGCAGGTTCTCCCTTGAGATCCCTGTGGGGTTCCGATGGGTGTTCGCTTCGAGCGAGCTTTTCAAGCGGTCGTGGCCTCTCAGCCTTTTCTTCCATCCTCTCCGCAGGCACTTTGGCGCAGCTACCCCGTAGCAGGCGACGCGCCCCCGACGCAATCTTCTGCGCTGGCGACTGCGCAGTTGGAGACGCAATGCCGCGATGCGCCGCGCGCGCTTCCGTTCAGCGGGAAGACCACTCCTCGACAGTTGTGGCGCCAATGGGCGCATGCGTGCCCGAGCATTTCTGCGTCGGAGAGCGCGTTCAAGCAGCGGTTTCAGAAGCAGCGCGCTGGCGCAGGGGCCGCGGAAGTCTCCGGCTATAAAGCGCTAGAGGCGCTCGCTGGAGATCGGCCCCGCAGGTTGCATGCGCCGGGTCTTTGCGCGTCGCTCAAGCTGCGCGGTGCGCTCCTGAAAGAGGACTCGCCGTTAAGGTATCCGGTCGAACGATGCGGGGGTGGCTGCAGCGCTGCGGTGGTGGCGAGCTTTCCAGTGTCATTCCTGCCGCTGGGTTGGAAAACAGACCTGGGGGCGACCTCTGAGAGCATATAGTGGCACTTGGAGGGTGAAAGTGGGGGTCGGCCGCAGGGCCCCGGCAATGGTGTCTTTATGGGCTATGAATGGGCGATGCATCCTCGGTTGCTGCGTTCGGCGGGGGAACTAATGGAAGCCCCCCGCTTGCGCCCGTGCGCGAGACTTGAAAGGAAAGGAAGCAGGGGGGCGGGGGGCTCGGGAAAGGCGACGAAGGCAAAGTGCGCTGAGGGCGCAAAAAGAACAGGCTGGAACACACGAAAGAGGCCAGGTGAGTGTCGAAATCTGCCCAGCCAATCTGACGCGCGGAACAAAACGCCTCGGCGTTGGGGATCTTGAAGGCCAGGGCAAAATGTGAATTCACATTGTGGGGAAAAGCAAAATGTGAATTCACATTTTGGGAGAAAAAAAAAAGAAAATGTGAATTCACATTTGGGGGGCAAAAAAAGAAAATGTGATTTCACATTTTGGAATTTTGTGTAGGATTCTTTATGAAAGGGGCCATAATGTGAGTTCACAGCTTGGAAAAAAAAGGAACATGTGAATTCGCACGTTGGGAAAAAGGAAAAGGTGAATTCACATTTTGGGAGAGAAGTGTGCCCCATTCCAAATCTGTCTTGGGGGTCGAGAAGTCATCGTTTGGGAACATGCACGATCATCAATCGCACAACCAAGACACACTTGCACTCCACTTCGCTGCCCCACGCGCAATATGCAAGAACCCCCGCACGCATGAACGTTAATGGATGGACGGCGCGCGCGCCCGCGCGGGCAACGCGCGGGCGCGAACGACTGGCCCTCAATGACCGCCAACATTGGGTGCCAATCGTACCCGTTCACATACATGAGCGATGCATTGAGCATACATGGGTCATTCAGCCCCCATTGAAGACCCCCTGTTGCAGACCCCCTCTTTCACCCTCCAAGGCACTCGCCCTATCCCGCCGTGCCTGGCTGGCGGGTCAGTGGCCTCATGGAATGTGCACCCGCGCATATCCTTCTTAACTCATGCTGTTATATGTTTATACTTGCGGCCCGTCTCGGTCCAAGCGATATTGCCAATGGCGCTGAATGCGCACTTGGCAGTGAGTTGGAGGTCATCCTGCCCTCATCTTATTGCCATTGTCTTGCCTCTATCGACGGATATTTTGCGAGTATTTGGTCCATCGGTCCTCCTCTCCTACGCGCGCATGGATGTCGGCTGGGTTCTCGTGGTTGGCTTATTCGAGCCCCCAGGGCGGCAGTTTTCAGGCTTGTTGAGGCCTCATGGGGCAGCCCTGGGGCTTCTGGGGGTATCTTTCGAGCCTCTTTGAGGCCACCCTTTCAGAGACTACAGTTCTAGAGGCTACAATTCGCGAGGCTGCGTGGGCCTCGGGGCATTCCACTTCGCGCCTAGGGCACGGTGGCGGATTTGGCCACGGGCGCGGGCAGCAGTGGCCCCGCGAGGTCTTGCGCGCTTGGTTGGAGACGAAGGGCATTTCGTGCCCGACGCGTCACTGCCAGACGCGGTTGTCTCGCGACTGGCGGCCTGCTGGTCGGGCGGGCACCGGTGAGCAGTTGGGGGGGGCAGTTGGCGACGTCCTACGATTGCCAGAATGCGCCGGTAGCTTCGCAACCTCATCATCGATTGCGGAACTACTCCACGGGATGCGCTCTTGGGGAGATCCCGTTGGCGTCGCCTGAGATTCTACGCGAATGGCGCATGCTGCACCGCCCAGGGAGTGGCGAGATTCGGGTTGATAGCGCCGCCGACCTGGACCGTGCTCTCGGCTTGGAGCGCGCGGTTTACGCGTCGCACGGTCCTCGGCTCTGTCGCGGCATTTATCGCTGCGCTGGAAGCCCATCGGCGCCTCAGTGAGGACGCGTCGCACGTGGTTAGACTCGTTGGACCCCAGGTCATCCAGCGAGCTCGGCAGCTGCAGGTTCCGAAGCTGACTCGGCGGATGGGGAGCAGAAGGCAGCGCGCGAATAATGCTTTGGGCACTGTCGAAGAGGTGGAGGAGCGCCTTGGTTTCGACCTCCGCATGGACC